TATCCCTATATATTCAACTCCATTATGCTGATGCACTCCTATGAACTTGGCAAAGACATTATCTTATCTTGTAGTCATGCATCGCCCTGTACAGAAAAATATCAGCCATATTATTTTAATACTAAGAGTAGCGCAAACATTTGCATAAATGTTGTGGGCTAGATGGACAAAAATCACCTTGTTCAATACGACTGCGCTGAAAGGCTACAGTTGCGACTATATGCCAACATTTTTATGAAACATTAAGAGCAACGATCGATACAATAAAAAGTCTAGACCTTTAAACAGGAAACTCGATGAAAAGCCTGTTGCTATTCTGAGATCTCTTAGCTGTGAATGCGGCATTATGAGGAACATAACACTTAGTGACAGACAGCACAGGAGGAGGTTTCTCCACGCTTCTTAAGGGCCTCAAACATGACAAAAACGGCAGGAGTCTTGGCCCAGTGTTGCGTATATATGTTTAATGGGGTACACATGAGATCTTTTCATGCTTTCTGAATTGACTGTCGGTGTATCAAAGTCAGACTGACTTATGCTTGGCTCTCGTGGTTTGTCGCAGTGTGTCTTAACAAGCCAAAACTCAAAGCAGAACACCAGATGAAGATGTTCTTCTAAACGAGTTAAATAGCAACTCGGTACCACAGAGCTGACTGATTTTTTATTTAACATCCTGGTAGCATGACTATTTTTATCATCTTTTGTTTTGTTTGGAGCTAGTTTGCCCTGTTTAGTGTCAACGTGGAAAACTCAAAGAATTAAAAAGAAAAAACTATCAAACAAATAAGTGACAGTATTCAGTTGATTCATTTCTTCTATTTATACAAAAAAATAGATGACCTTTTCATTTAGACTTTATTTAAAGTTCATATCTAGAAGACTAATCATTTAATAACTCTCTTAAATGTAATATTTAGCAAATCTGTGAATATTATTACTAAATTCACTTATAGATTTTTTGCTTTATTTTTATAGAAAAAATATAGAATTTTAATTGTTTATTTATGGGTTATTGTGGCAGGCTATTACTTGAAAATAAGCATTTACTGAATCCCAATTTGCCTACTTATACTATGCACTAAAAGTATGTAAAAGTATGCAAATGAGTGTGAAGCATAAGAGTATGCAAATTTTGGGCGATAAAACCACGTCAATAAATTGGCCTGTCAATCATAGCGTTAAAGTTAACATCCTACACACTCCAGCATTCATTTAATTTAATTTACACTTAATTTAATTTAGTGAGAATACCTACAAGTTTGTGTGTATCAGATGTGGAAATATAACAGTTGCTTGTGTGAAAGTAGGGCTGATTGTGAGTGTGTGAGTATGTGTGTATCAACTGCAGCTTTTGCTGTAATACATAGCAGCTTGCCCTCATTAAAGCTTAAAACCTCATCTCGTTTAATCAGCTTATACTTTGACTAGATTTACACAACCTCTTTTCCGCACATTGACACAAAACACATGACAGTGGAGTCTCTAATTTCTAGTTTTCTTCTCAGTCCCATTAAGATCATTCTAGCTGATTCCAGTAGGCAACGATGTTTATTCTGGTTGTGTTTCTCAGTCTCCGTCTAATATGATTTTTATAATATCTCATGTGTGGGAACTGCGCCTATTGATGTCTTTAGTGTCATGTTACAACTAATCCTTTCCAATGACCCTGGGGCAGACCAGTATGACCCTGAAAAAACTGTAATTAACATGTTAATACCAGGTAAACAGTGCCAGATGATTTGTGTGCATGTTGTGACCCCAGATTAAAAAAAAATATAATATTCAGGGTCATATTTAGACCAATATGTTCGAGAAAACCGCTAAGCAAAAATGTAAATGATGACCAAAACTTTTGCGATTGGATAATTTTAAACAACATTCTGAGAGTAGTTTGATAAGCAGGTATATTTCTGGCAGATATTAAAACACTATATTGTTTCGTCTTATGTATTGTCTAATGTTATATGTTTATTTTTCCAACACCAGTCAGGAGCAGTGTTCTTAATTTCATTGTATACAGAGATACACAATGACAATAAAGGCTTCAATGTGTGTAGCTAGCATCTTTGTTTGGATCGTGATTAAAATCCAGTGGTTGCCTTTAGTTTGGCCTGTAATAAATAAATACAAAAAAATACATTTAAAAAAATTCAGCAACCGGTCTCGGAACTGGCCAATTTGCTTACAGTCAAACGCAATCAGTTATGAAAAACATAATGATCAATGCATCCCTGTTTAATACTAGTTGTAAACAGGGTTTCTGTGGTCTGTGGGCACCTGCTCAAGTTTGCATGCCGAACAGCAGCAAAGGCTAATGATAAGCATTTTTTTTCCCAACAAGTGCTTCACGCCTAAACAGCCGGAGCTCGAAATATCAATGAGGAATAAATGTCCTATGTGATCCAAGCTAAAGGCCATCAAAGAAACAGCAGAATAAATCCTGCTGGCTAAGATCCAAAGATGTGGTTGCAGGAATGAGGGGAAGCGCATGCAGAAGAGGGATGGAAAGCTGTGGCTGATGTCAGGAGGAGATGGGGGCTTTCGCAAAGTTAATTAACAGACATTAATTGCTCTCATTAAACACTGACTGGTTTTAACAGGATTCCGAGTGTCTGGACATTTGCGGCGCTAAGCCCTGCTACGATGAGAAAGAGGTAACTCTTTGGCTGAGAGCACTACGGCCGCCTGATACAAATTACACACTCAAAGCACTTTCCACACATTTAAGTGGACGTGGAGAACGCGAGAGAGAGGTCAAAACCCTCATACCATGATATTACTGCAGTTTATGGAACACTATATTGATGATAATTACCATGGTATATATTAATGTATGTCGGAATACTATTTTAATACAATATGTAGAAAAATATAAAAAAAAACAAAAAGCCTGGAAAGACAGAAAAAACGGGATATGGCCAGTGTTTATTTCTACAGTTTCTTTTCTTTTTTTCTTTTTTAGTCAGTTTAATGAACAATTAACAAATTTAATTAGTATTTCATTATGTTATATTCATTCATATTAATCAAATTTACAATTTTAGTGGATGAAAATATTTAAGTTACACCAAATAATTTAAATATTTTATATATGAATTTAAATGTATATTTGCGTAAAAAAATATGGGGTCAGTCAGACTTTAAAAAAGATATATAATACTTTTATTCTTCATGGACACTTTAAATTGAATAATAAAAAAGCGATAGAAAAGACATATTATAATGTCACAAAACATATCAATTTCGAATAATTGTTGTTCTTTTGAAATTCCTTTTTTTTAATAGTAATATTTCAAAATATTCCTATTAATTATTTTTGATTAAATAATTGCAGCCTTTGGTGGGCATGAGACTTCTTTCAAAAAATAGGTGTGTGCACAAATATGAATATTTAAATATTTGATCTGTAATAATTATTCGAAAAATAAAAATACCTATTTCACGATTACTCTGACCAAAATGATCTTACTAATTGATCTAAAAAAATACTTTTGATAAAATTAATCAACGTGTCATGACTTGTATACAAACTATAGGGCTGTAAAATCGATTAATGACGATTAATCACATCTAATAAAAAAGTAGTGTAATATACAGAATACACATAGAGAAAGATAATTCATAGAAATGTAATAATATACACACAAACATTTGTGATAACCAGGAGAGTCATCAGGCAGCGAGACTTTCACACCACCCAATCAAAACATCCAAAGCCATGAGTTTCAACTCACTGACTCTATGCTCACCTCCAAATCGAACCAGTGGCCCTGAGTGAGATGGAAACATTTTAGTCCCATAATGTTTTCATAATACAGATGAATCCTCTGGGAAAGTGACACTTTGAGTGTAGTTCCCGGGGCTAAACATATCTCTTAATGGAAACGCTCACCCATCTCTCCACAGCCGAGTATGTCCCTCATTATTATTGAGCAGACATCCGGAATAGGACTCTGCTTATTCAGAGGAAAGTGGGAACATACTTTAAAGAAACAGGTGGAACATTCATCCAAGAGATGGTTGGAGAGAAATGAAATGTTTTGTACAAAATGAGGCAAGTCTCTTAAAGAAATAGCTGAGGCTAGAATGAAATTTCTGTCATTATTTACTCATCCTCATGTTGTTCTAAACCTGTATAACATTCTTTCTCTAGCAAAGAAAAGTCTCCATGCTCTGTTCCATGCAATGACAATGAATGTGCTTTCAGGTTTCAATAAAGATGCAAAAGTACAATAAAAGTATAGAATTTGCCATTAGAACTTGTACGAAATGTTAGCTTTGTGTGTGAAAAGGACTGAATCTAGATCATTCACTTAAAATCTTTACATTAATCTTTGCTTGAGAGAAGTAGCCATGTCCAATTCATGAACAAATCATTCATTTGAGTAAAAATGTTCAAGGAATCAACCAATCTGGTTCACAAGACCCCTCTGATCTCATGAATCAGATTATTACAGTTAGGGCTGTAATAATCTTTCTCTTTCACTTTCACATTTTGATGAAACAAGCTAAACGAGCTAAGACCAACTAACACCAGACAACTGCTTATGCAGGGTTTTTTTTGCAGGGACTTTTTGTTGTCACAGCACATTGTTTGTATTTAAATGGAGCTGCTATAGCGTTCATTGGCATTAACATTATAACCGATCGAAGTGAGAGGTGTGGTCAGACTCGTTCTTAACCTATACTGGACCACGATTTGTACTTTTGTATGCTGCACGGTCTACAGACTGTAACAAGATGTAATTGAGAAGAATAATGGTTGTCCACTTCATGTCATTAACTAGCGAGACCGTAATAGCTAGCTTGTGTCTGCAACTGCCTAATTTTCTGCTGAGCCCCAGATACGAGCTATGGAAGGGAATTATACGGTTTTTTTTTTAATGAGCACAGAGGTCTTTTGCAGATTTAAACACACTGCCTTTTTTAACCAAGGACGTCTACCCAGGCTGGTCCACAGTCCTGAGGTGCGTGTGAGTGTGAGTGGACGTGGTACCCACCTCTCAATGATGTCAGCGATCACACAGGCAAACATCTGGAGACCCTCGGGCAACTGCAAGGCCACTGCAGGTCAAAGACAGAGAGTCCAGTTAGTGCAATATAATACAATATGGGGCTGCACAATTAGGAGACAAAAATATAATTGCGAAAAAATACAAATCAATCAATAAGTCTTAATAGGCACATTAGTATCCCCCTTGCCCCCCCCCAAAAAAAGTTTTAAACCAGTTATTTATATATTTTGCTGAAGTGTTTCAGAAGGAAATACCAGGTTAAATTTCCAAACGTTCTTTTTGCCATTAATTTAAATAATCCAGTGAGATTTTTTTGTATGAATAAGAAATATCTGACAACACGGATTCCCCACACGGAGATCTAATCTCACCATCATTTAGTCCATCTGGGATTACATGAAGAAACAGAAAAAAAAAATGAGACAGACTAAAACTAGAAGAACTGTGGCAACATCTAAGGATTTATTATAAAATCTTATATTATTATGAGACAAATCTGAGATTTTTTTTTTTTTTTTTTTTTTTGGTATGCAAAATAAAAAGGTCCATGTGTTTAATATGAAAAATGAGCCTCTTATACATCCACTTTGGGAGAAAAAAAAACAACAACTCCTGTACACTGGAGAAAAAAACGTATGGATTATCATATACATTTCTTTAGACATTTCTTTTTTATGCAAAATAGGATGGAGTGAGCATTACTGAGCGCTAAACTCACACACAGAAGTAATATAACTTATGATGTTCTAGGAAACCCATGATGTGGACAAAGGCATCAGGCTATCGACGTAGCTGAATAAAAATAAGATAGAAATGCTTTGATTAAACTTGAAGGCAATAAACACACGACAGCCGCAATATATGGTGTATTTGACTTCTTCAAGCCTTCTCAGATATTTTCATAATACTAAAGTATGTTTATATGCAATCAATGCTAATTGATATACCCTTTTATCATTCTATACTATAAAATAATATAATATACTGTAATATACTGTCTACCTCAGCTCACAAAAGGAAGTTATAGAAATGATACAAGAACAAAAATTTACCAACACAGTGACAATACAAAAAGCATCCCTATTATAATCTGCATCCTGTCAGATTTACTCTTACTAAAAAAATACTGTCTGTGAATGGTGAACTTGAATTAAGTTTGATGGATATCACTCTCAACAAGTGAGTATGATAAAAACAAAATATTTGTCGAGACAAAAACGCAATACCTTACCTTATGTTCAGCAGTTAATAAGGATTTTATGTGTACTGAGCTATATCACAAGAAACATCTGAGCAGAGCACTACAGCAACTAATTATTTAAGGAAACCAAAGTAAATTGCTTTAGACGGTTGTCAACTCTCAAGCATTTGGTGTGAGACATGCCTCTGTCTCACACTTTCACAATGCCAAAACACAAAAGTCATGCCTCATTATAAGTAACCAGTTTCAATCATGAAATGCAGCCAACAAATTGTACAGAGAAATTAATTGGTTCAAAGAAACAGAGCACTGGCTATTTCTATCTGGCACATTGCTAAGGTTGAACACAAACCTAAACATTTCCATTGTCTCCGTGGAAAAACATTGTTCTGCTTATTGCTGCACTGTCTGGTACATAATGAAATTCTGGAACATTTGCATCATTACAGTGTTGTTTTCTTCACTGATATTAATTTAATTATTGCATAAAAGTAGTACTATCTATAATATAATAGAATTAATAATGCAATACAATTATATAATAAATAATACAATACACAATAATTTAATATAAAATAATTAGGTGAATGTTCTGAAAAAAGTGGTGGTCGGGTAAATGTATATGCACACATTCAAGATATACGGCATATAAATCACTCTAAGCAGCTGGCAAAGTTGGCATGAAGCATAAATCCAAAGTTGGCACCGTTTCAGACAAGCTAACCATTATAACAGCTGCAATAACACACTTGTCACACTAAATTTACACCATACCTAAAAACAGTGACAGAGATACACTTTATATTTATCGAGAGAACTCAACACAGTGCAAAAAAGAAAAAAAAGCAGTCACTTGTAAATATAAAAGCTGAGTGTTATGCCATTGTTGGACCCATTACAATGTCTTAAAGGGATAGTTTACCCAAAAATGAAAATTAGCCCATGATTTACTCACCCTCAAGCCACTCAAGTTATATATGACATTCTTCTTTCAGTTATATTAAAGCAACACTAAGTAAGAATTTTTACCTTAAAATAATATTGTCAAAATTGTTGCAGTGGTTCATCAAATCACTTTTCTAAGAAGGTGACTAATTAACTACAACTGGGTAATTTATATAGAAAAAAAGCTAAAACAACAGTTATATATCGGCCTATTCTAGCACTAGTCTAAAGAGATAATATTCTTGTGCTGTGCATTTTTTTTTTTTCTAAAATGTATTAGACTACATTAGATGTGTATTTTTTTCTTCCTCATCGGACGCCAGCATCATGCGTATATGCTGCCCTGTTGTCCTGGAAACAGACTCATGCCCTAAAATTGGATCTGTTACATGTACTATACAGACTAACAAATGAACAGTGAAATAAAGGAAGACTGAAATTCAATTATCACCATTGTTCATGTCTATCAGTTCATATTGATGTCATACAAGTGTGACCTATCCAGCTAGGAGCCTTTCCTGTCAGTCAATAAATGAGATTGAAAAAGACCACAATTTCAACTCCATCTCACCTCATCTAATTCTTTAACTTCTGACTCTGATACACTAAATATAAGATATTTCAAAATCAATCAATATTGAATTATTAATGAATATTTTCATAATTTTACATTCCAAATGCCATATTTCTGGCCTCTTAGTACTGAAATACATAGTGGCCTACTGTCAGAAGTGTAGTCTGCTGTATGAATTATTAAAATATGCTGCATCACTGCAGTAAAATCAATTACAACCATAATCATTGCAACAAAACATGGCATTCCATCCAGCACGAGTGTGTTTCTGGCCAGTTTGACACATCTGATATTCAGTTGTAATCGAAATCAGGTTTATTGGCAATATTTAAAGACTTTCAGTTGTTTGCAGTTAACAAATCAAACAAAAGTCATTGAAATTGCTCAACACAAATGTTTAAAGTGGTTTCCCCAAATTCAAGTGAAAATAGACATGCATTTTCTGTAAAGCTGCTTTGAAACAATATGTATTGTGAAAAGCACTTTACAAATAACTGTGAATTGAAGTGCCTTAAGCACCTTTAATACTTAGTAGAACATTATTTTCCTGTCATGAGCAATGGCCTCCAGTTTAGTAATATTCTTGGGTTCGTGTGCTGTAACCGCCTTCAAATTCCACCAGATCGCCTATGGGCTTCAAGTCAGGTGACTGTGATGGCCACTGTAGAATCTTCCAGGACTTCTCCAACCAAGCCGTGGTAAAATTTGACATATGGCTTGGGATCATTGTCCAGTTGGAAGGTCCAATGATGCCCAAGCTTCAGTTTCCTCACTGATGGCATAAATGATACTTCAATAAATCCATTTAGCCTTCCATACGCTGCAGGTTTCCAGTGCCAGAGGATACAAATCAGCCCCAGAGAATCACCGAACCACCACCATGCTTAACTGTAGGCAGTTTTCTATTCTACTTCATTCCTCTTCCTCCAGACATACCTTTGATCCATCGGGCCGAAAAGTTCAATTTTTATTTCATCGCTCGAGAACAGAATCCCAAAACTTCTGTGACTTATTTATATGATATTGAGGAAACTGAAGCCGACTTTTCTTGTCCTTTTGGGTTTGCCCCTTATAAGTGGTGTATATCATGGAGTTCTGGCATGCATTAGGTATGTGCCTTAGTGTGCAAGCTGAAACCTCAGTGCCTGTTGCCACCAAAGGCATCCTTTTCTGCTGTGTCCAGATAGTGTAACCACTGTTCCTATAACTTTGAACTTGCAAACTATGCTTCCAAAGGAACATTTAGTCTCTTCGCTATCTTTTTGTATCTTGTTATTTGTTTAAAGTGTGATAATATCTTCTCCTAATTTTTTGGACCATTCCTTTGACGTAACCATATTTCTAACATACCATCAAACGTTACTCAACAAACCTAGCGAGTTCAGATATTCCATGTGTTGCATCTGGGTTGCATCATGCGTGTTAGATGCAACACCTGTTTTATAGATTTGTGCTGATGTGAGGGATTCTATTCAGGTTTGAATAATTTTGAGACTATATTTTGAAAAGTCATTAAAAGTTGCATTTTCAGTGGAATTTGGGGAAACCACTTGAAACATTTGTCGTGTTGAACCATTTCAATTACTTCGACAGCGGAAAGTCTGAAAATTTTGCCAATAAACCTGATTTGCAATGGGGGTGGAATAATTTCTATTAAAACTGTATATATATACAGGTGAAACTCGAAAAATTAGAATATCGTTCAAATCAAAAGTACATTTATTTCAGTAATTCAACTTAAAAGGTTAAACTAATTTATTATATTGACTCGTTACATGCAAAATGAGATATTTCAATCCTTTATTTGTTATAATTTTGATTATTATGGCTTATTATGAAACCCTCACATTCAAAATTTGAATATTCCGAAAAGCTTTTTTTTAAAAAAAACATCCTGGGTTGTTTCACCTAACTTTGGGTCAAATATGGACAAACCCAGCCGTTGGGTTACATTTTTTAAATTATATTTTAACCCAACGTTTTTAAGATTGAAGCCATAATCATCATAATTATAACAAATAAAGGCTTGAAATATATCACTTTGCATGTAATGAGCCTATATAATATATTAGTTTCAACTTTTAAGTTGAATTACTGAAATAAATGAACTTTTCCACGATATATTTAAATTTTTCGAATTTCACCTATATATATATATATATATATATATATATATATATACATATATATATAAACAAAGATAGTGCTGTGCAAATGCACCATATGTCATAATTTTCCAGCAAAATGGTGCAATTGAATTTATAGTGGACATGGAGTTAGCTATTAGCCATTATTATTATTGGTGCTTGTAAAACAAAGCATCACTATC